TATTTAGAGGTCAAGAATGTATTTGAGCCAGAATCTGAGCGTCTATTTAGAGGGGTGTGCGCTTATAGGGGGTGCCTTAGAGAGGTCTAGCTGCATATAGGTGACAAAAAGTGGATTAGTTAGAATTAACGTTCGATAGGGCATTGATTTGTATCATTATTTACTGCAAAAAAAAAATGTCGTATGTAAAGACCTTACCTCCTATATAGATGACAAAAAGTAAGTGGATTAGTTAGAATTAACGTTCGATAGGTATCATTATTTACTGTAAAAGAAAAAATGCCGTATGTAAAGAACTCACCTCCTATATAGATAACAAAAAATAAGTAGATTAGTTCGAATTAACGTTAGATAGGGCATTGATTTGTATCATTATTTACTGTAAAAAAAAAAAAGTCGTATGTAAAGAACTTGCTGTAGAAGTGACAAAAAGTAAGTGGATTAGTTAGAATTAACGTTCGGTAATTTACTGTAAAAAAAATGTCGTATGTAAAGAACTTACAAACTACATAGGTAATTGGGTTAGTTAGAATTAACGTTTGATTGGTCATTGATTTGTATCATTATATACTGGATGAAAAATACAGTTGTTAAGCGAAACTATTTATGTAAATAGTGAAAGGCGAAACCTAAGCTCAAAACAAACCAATTGAAACTATGAAATGTGACGAAAGGTGCAAAATCCAGAAAAACGATAATAGCTGAAATTAAATAACATGTTATAAGGTTAACACCAGCCATGTCGTGTCGGTAAGTTTAATACCAGTTATAAACGTACTACACCAGCCATGTACTACACTCACGAGTACTTAACACGATTTTTTGCCGAAAAAAAAAAAAAAAAAAAAAAAATCCTTTCGTCACGAACTTTCTTTTTGGTCTTTGACGATCAACGATTATCAAATCATCTACCCGGCAAAAAACACGACACAAAAAAAAACAAAAAATTGAAAATTAGACAAACAAATCTTATTTAAAATACAAAAAATCAGATAAAATGCAAATTTACAAAACCAGATTTACCACATCCAGCATATACAGCGAGCGAAGGTTTGCATATAGTACTTAGTACTAGTACTAGAACGAACGAACTGTACCAGAACGATATAACAATAACATCTAGTACCATATATTACTATAAAAATGGCAGGTGTAGATCATTCCTTTTACACAATTACGAGGAAATTATCTTGACGATCTCACATTAAAGAATAAATAGGCGTATAAAAAAAACCGGAAAGATCAAAGCACTGCAAGCCATAAATAGCAAAAAACCGGCACATACACGACCACAACGATACAACAAAATTGAGTAGGGTTAAAGAACTAGTAGGGCGATAGGCACTATAGAGTAATACTTTGATATCAATGAGTGATGAGAATGGGTGATGCAATGGTGGTGATGCTGTTAAGGATGATAATAAAGTGGTGATTTTAAGGACTGTGATGGATTACCAGAGTCGAATAACAGTCGTAAGTGTCGTTTTCTACCACAATTCCCACAAGTCACTAATGTGAATGGCAATATCTGATTTCACAAACGTTCTATAACCCGAGTCTTAATAAGCAAAATCGAAGTTATAAGTCAATTCAGTCCGTCGAATTGAGTCTCAAAGGGTTTATTAAAGTTACAAGTCGAATTCAAAAGGCAAGACACAAGGGACAAATTCAGATATTTATATACACTTTATTGTTTATTAGGAATTGAAAGTGGACATGAACTGTCACTCTTTATTGAATTTCAGGCACTTATATACATTTTGTTTTATTAGAGCGTTTACGCTCTTTTTTGAATGCATCCGTTCTTTTTTGAACATATATGTTCTTTTTTGAGCATATACGCTCATGGAGCAGGGATCTAAAAATTTGTGTAAGCACATATACGTGATTTTTTGAGCATATACACGCTTGCATAGAATAAGCCACCAAGCCACCATCAACTACCATTTTAGTATACTTGATAAAATATTAACACAATACAAAAAAAGAAGTCGGTTACTGCTATGAAAATGGATTGGCAAAGAACTATATATATAATAATAATGATAATTATGAGAATAAAAACTATACCAATAATAAAAGATAAAATAAAATAAAAGAGAATAACAAAACAAAAAGAAATTTCATCTGGTACACTATACATGAATTTATTAAAATGATAAGTATTATGATTATCACTATTGTTACGTATATACATACATATTTATATGTTTAATGTGCAAATTATATATATACTAGGTGGGTGAAAACTTTCTTAGCAGGACCCTAAACAGAACTTATTTCTATTTCTGCTAATATTTAATTCTATTTATTTTTATACCAGATGGAAAAAGTCTCTAAACAATCCCTTTTTTACTATCTTTGCTAAGATTTATACATACAATTTACAAAAATATTGCAATAATTATAAATTTCAGAATGATTTCCTTAGTAATTAAAAAACAGAGTCCTGGGGTCAAGATGTTCTATGTGTGTATATAACATTATTTATGAATGCCTCCTAAAGATTTACTGCTTAAAAACTTTTTACCTATCTGGTATATGATTTTTTATATATATCTTAATGCTAAGAAGCCACTATAATGCAAGCTGAAATTTTAATAGATTCTGAAATATTCTGAAAATTTATAAGCAATTCTGAAAAATTCACACATGCATAAATTGCATCATGTGAAAAAATCAGGATTTGCATATTACTAATTAAGCACTAAAATTTTCTTAAATAACTGTTTAGATATTTATTTTGACATTAGCAGCTCTGTATTTAAATGATTAGAACTGTTTAAACTAGTGTAACTGTTGATTGAGAGAGCTAATGAAACAATATAAATAATATGCCAATCTATCTAACAGTATATGAAAAATAATGATAACTTTGGACAAACAAAGTATGTTTTTATAACTGTTAGGAAACTAATTAGACAATATGATGCTATTGAACAGATACTTTGATATTGTTATAGTGAGAACCAGTATTCAGTATACTTAGTGCTTGGAGTAGTTTTTAATTAATTGATTGTCACAAAATCACATGCCATATGATGATCGACCAGGATCAAGATCAGTGAATGAACAATCAAGGAGAACAATACTGTAATATTTAAGTTTATGATGCATGAATTAGATGTTTGAAAATGTCATAATAGAGTTAATAGAAAATAGTGTGATTAGTAATAAAAAATTAAAAAGGTAAAATAGCATGACCAATAATTATATAATTTAGCTAGTATTCAAAAAAGTCAGCATAGATCAGATTCGGATTTGTGAAATCCAAATCGTCAGATTAGGTTTAGCCCCTAAAACATCAGATTGGGCCCAGATTGAGCAGGATTGGGCTTAATTTTAGATCATATCTTTATATAATCACTCTATATAATAAATTCAAATTTGTCATGTGATAAATTCAAATGTATCACACCTTATGCTACAATATAAGTATAAATTCACATTTGTCACATGATAAATTCGCATTTATCACTTATATTGTGACAAACTATCAGATTGGCATGAATCACTCCTGAATTCAATCTGAATTACAGATTCAGATCAGATTCAGATCAATTCTGAATTAATCGTAATTTTTAATCTATTTTCAAACAATAAATTTAGCAATAGTTAAACTTTGTATTTAAAGACACAAGTGAAATAAAGTTAATTAATCATTTTTGATTACTTGCAAATATAAATCATTAAAAGTAAGTAAGCAAAATACTTACCCCAGTTGAAGAAGCAAAGTGTTAAAGTTGCTGATAATTGGAGAAGTGTCTGCCTCTTGAGCTGAATTTTTAGTCACAAAAGTGTTCTATTAACCAGTGACACAAGAATTTGAGCAGATTATCAGTAAGTTACTAAACATAAAAGAAATTTTATTGAGTTAGTAAAGACAAAAATTAAAATAGATACAGACAAAAGCAAAACAATAACCAACATATTTTGTCAAAGACAAAAGTATCTTGAGTGTAAGAACCTTTATAAGAATCCTGGAGAAAAGCTGTTACAAAAAAAAAAAATTTAATTAATATTCACTACTAAATATTATACCGAATTATAAAAGCAATAAATTGACTGTATATATTTGGTTGCTTATTATACTGCCTTTATCTACTGATACCAAAGAAATCTGATACTAAAAGTATAGAACCATATCATGAAGGTGGAGATACAATAACGATGGTGAACTTTTTTTAGAAATATAAAGTATATACCCAAATTAGAGGATAGGACAATAATATGAAATCAGTATATATGGTGTTATATATTGCAAAAATTGAGATAGTATATGTTAAACAAGTATGTAGAAGCACAAAGGCATGGATTGAATTATGGCAAAGGTTATTTGATATAGTGAGTTATATTGATATGATGAATGATTATATGAAATATAAGAATTGTGGATTAAAAGATGTTGAGCAAGTTGATGATAATAGAATAAATAAAAGAGTGACAAATATAATTAGTAAATCAAATAATGAAATAAAACAGACAAAAGAAATAAAGATTAAAAACATACTTGACTCAAATGAGTGTAAAGAATCTATTAATCACCAAAAATCTATAGAAATGGAAGACTTCGTTGAAACATATAGCATTGAACAATGTTACCGAAATGGAATAATCATTAAAAAAGATGAACAAAAGTCTGAAATACCTGTTTGCAACCTATTTAAATAGTATATAGATGTTGATGAAGATGAAGTGATGAATAAGAAAATAATTAGTAATAAATAAGAAATAGATAATAAAAAGAAACAGGCAATCAATAAAACAAGTAGTGAAGTGGAGATTGACAAAAGAACATAAAGGTTAGTTCAATAAATGGTGATGAGATAAATAATAGGAAATCTGAAAATTCACCCAAACAGAATTGTGAAGCAAATGATTCTGAAAATTGCTATAAAAATGAAATAAGTGATTCTAAATTTGGTGATAAATATGAGAAAACTGTTAAAATGAGAAATATGTCTGTGGATCGATTAAATTAGGTGCATGTGTCAAATAGAATGTTCAAAGCTGAGGAATATGTGAAAGGTTTCACCAAGTTAGATAGTTTGAATTGTCAAAAAAGTATAATCGGCAATGCTGAAAAAGGTGATTAATATGAAAACACAAAAGCTAAAATGTTAAGTACTTTGAAGCTTTATAGTTTTAAGGATCTTGAGAAAGAAGTTAATCAAAGTAAATAGAATGCTGCATGCTGTGACAAAGTGAAAGGTCAAAATGAAAAGGTGATAGTTGCAAAATGTTGCTAGTAAGATATGTATTTGATTGAGGAAAAACATTAATTGATGTTTGAAATGTTATAATATAGTATTTACAATATAAAAAAAAATAATGATTAAGGATCGATAGTTATATTTAGGAAGGTTCAAATGAGCAAAATTGTAGATGTGAAATTGAATTATGAGCAGTTGGTAAAATACCAAAGTAAGATAAAATTAAGTAACAGTTGGTTATAAGAATACTGAAGTAAGATACAATTATGCAACAATTGGTAGTAAAGATGGAAGTACCAAAATAAGGAGATGGACTATGCATGAAAGTATGGTGCTTATTAATATATTTAGGTTCATGTAAATTGTGTACATGTGTGGATGGTTGTTAAGATGGAAGTATGTGTGTCTGTATTGGGTAATTGAGATTTTGTGCAAGTGGAAACTTCAGGGACAAAGTTTCAGAGAGTCTAGCTTGTATCATGGTGAGAACCAGTATTTGGTTTACTTAGTGCGTGGGTAGTTTCGAATTGATTGATAGTCACAAGATCACGTGCCCACATGACAATCGACCAGGATCGGGATCAGTGAACGAATGATCAAGGGGAACAATGCAGTAATGGATAAGTATGTGATGCATGAATTAGATGGGTAATGTGCAAATTAATAAGTGGTGCATGAAAAATGTCATAATAGAGTTAATGAAAAATGGCGTAATTAGTAATAAACAATTAAAAAGGTAAAATGGCGTGATCAATAATTATGTAATTTAATGATAGTTAAAATTTGTATTTAAAGGCACAAGCAAAATAAAGTTAATTAATAATTTTTGTTTAAGTCGTTGAAAGTAAGTAAGTGAAATACTCACCAAGTTGAAGAAGCAAAGTTGATGGTTGGAGAAGTGTCTGCCTCATGAGCTGGATTTTTAGTCACGAAAGTGTCCTATTAACCCGCGACAATATCAATAGGTAATGATGATGGAGTGATACAATGACGAATGATGTTGTTAAGAATGATAAAGTGGTGATCTTAAGGACGGTGATGATGATTTGGTGATATCTTAATAAGGATAACTTTAAGTTCACGTGATATATCAACGGTGTCGGTTAACAGACCGTTCTCTACCACAATTTCTGCAAGTAACTAATGTGAATGTCAATATTTGATTCCACAAGTATACCAGTATTCGAGTCTAATAAGCCAAATCAAAAGTCAATTCAGTCCGTCGAATTGAGTCACGATAGGTTTATTAAAGTTACAAGTCGAATTCAAAAGATAAAGTCTCAAGGGAAATTCAGATAAGTAGATACTTGTAATTATTATTTACTAGAATTGAAAGTGGCATGTACTTATTTATTTTTGGTTATTTGAAAGTGGACAGGTACTGTCGTTCTTTATTGAATTCAAGACATTATATACATTTTATTTTTAACTTGAACGTATATACTTGAATTCGCTCAAGACACAGGGATCTACATATTTTGTAAGTACGTACGTACGTATACGCGATTTTTTGGGCGTATACGCGCTTGCATGAAATAAGCCACAAAGACACCATCAACTATCATTTTAGTATACGAAACGAAGACAGTTACTGCTATCAAAATGGAATTGGAAAAGAACTATGTACATACGAAATAATAATAATGATAAAGCTATGCTAGAAAATAATAATAAAGAAAAAGGAAAAGAAAACTTTTATTCATTACACTTGGGGTTTGTTAAAAGATCTTACTTCTATTTTTAAAATTTTGATTCAGTGAATTAAATAGGCACACACGTTAATAAAATTACCGGTGAGTGATATTTATGTATCACGTAGTTTGAAGTAAATACGTCACATATTTTATCTGAATCATTAATTACTGAATTATGAAGCCCTCCACTGTAAAAAGGTGTTATAACGGCAAACATCGCAAGTTTTAGATTGGTGAGTATTTTTAATTTAAGGGTAAACTTTTTCGACATCCTTTTCACTTTAACAAGTTATTGGTAATGATATCTATATTAGATGATAAAATCATAGCAATTATTAATATTACAATTCAACAATTTAATAATCATTATATTATTAACATTTAAATTTTGGGGTTCATTTTTTTTAGTTTTTTTATAATAGTTAAATTAGGATTGTTAATAGAAGAGCACCCTGAAGAGGTTTGGTTATATGGTCAAATTAGTAGAAATTGTAATAAATTTATATGTTTACAGATTTAAAATCAAGTTTTTAAAAACTAAATATGACAAAATAAACTTACAATAAAAAATATATATAATTCAATAATCAAAAACAAAATATAATATCAGATACGATATAAATAATTATGATCGTGACACAGATATATTTCAAGACCGGCTAAGAAATCAATTATTATTGCTCAATCAGATGACTTTATTAAACTAATTGGAAAACATATGGGAATTCCGTTCGCCACTAATTTACGCTCTATCCGTTACCCTACAAATTTCCTAAACAATACTACTAGACAATACAGCTATACCCCTAAATGCCAACCACAACTCCCCATAAACCTTACATAGCTAAGACGAGAATCGCTCTTATAATGCAACGCGAAGCCAATTACGTCAGCAAGATGATCATTGTACTGACATATAGCATATGACCCGCAAACCCTTAGACAAAAAACTCGTTCGCTGCAACCCTATAGTCATGGAGCCGGTCCTTACACTGCCACGCAGCCGCGGAGCCCAAATCCCCAAAGGTCCTTGCACTGCTACTGCAACCTCAGAGCCTAATCACCCCAGGTCCTTGCACTGCTACTGCAGCCTCGGAGCCTACTCATCGCACAACACAGGGCCTCCTGCACTGCTGCCACAGCCGCGGAGCTTAACAGATACATAATAATCAAACATACAAAAACTAAACATTGCCATTACAGCCACAGGGCTTGACATTACTCACCAATTTACCTTCTTACAAATCAACCGCCACCTCTCAATTTACCGAGAACCACCGTTAAATGGGTGGGTTTGGGCGGGACGATAGAACAAGCCTTCCTGCAAGGCGAGCGACTAAATACATTATCCTTAAATACGCTGCCTTACCATCATCCCATACATATTACACTGATCTGATTATCAACCGCAACCATATGAAAACACCCCCTTACTTTATTACTCAATCGTTAACATTTACATTTCCCCCGCCACTGAAAACAATCATATGCAATCATAGACTAGACCAAGGAAAAAACCCGACCTAACCAGAAAATCCTCAGCATCTATTACATTCCATAAAAGGCTAAAACCTACAAATTATGCATGTGACCCATAATGTCATCTGATCTCGCAATAATGAACGCTTTGTCACTTCGTTGACAAGCTACTCATGCTCAGTACTCTAATAATGCATAGCGTACCAAAGTTCACCCTCTAACAACTAAATTCAAATAAAAATAGATACTGCATGGTGATAAACACAACTAGCACATTCTATTATTTGTTTTCTTTTTGTATTTTCATTTAAATTTATTTATTTAGTATGAAATTCGTATAATTTGCTAATTTATTATCGAGTTTTCAAATATACCCTTTTTTGAATATACTTTTTTTTTTTTTAATTTACTATATTTTTAATTATCATTTTACTACGCTAATAGAAACGCAGCAATAAGAATAATATAAACATATAAATAGAGTTATTAAGAAACAAATATTTGTATCTTATGATGCGTTTGTTAAGCCTTTTATTCCAATTTCAGCAAATAGTGACATTAATTATTTGCACTAAAACAAAATGCGCAGTATGTTTTTTCTCGAAAACAAATCTACGAATTATAAAAGTTAGAGTATTACCTAAAATGATATGAATGACCAGTAGTACAAAGTACATATAACAAAGTGAATTGTACAAAAAAACAAAATTCATCGTCATTTAAGTTGTGTAATTATTCGTTTTCACATGTACAAAGTATGTTAAACTTTATATAAATACAATTCTTAAGAGTAATCTTAAGAGTAATTTTATTTTATTTTTTAAACGTACTTAAAGATTCTACAGTAATAATAAATTATAAACAACTTTCTGCAATAATTTTGATAATGGATACGATAATTCAAACCACAGCAGAAATCTTAGCAATTTACAATCCCATAGTTGCTACAATTAACATTATAGCTAAGGAAATTCATGAAATTTACAAAAATGCCGAAAGTAATAAAGAAATTTGCTTAATTATGGCGAACCGAGTAAGTTCAGCAGAATTTTCGATGAATACAATGATGAGGAATATAGAAGGAGATGAAGGAAATGAAGAAATTTTAGAAAATTTTCGTAAAAAAGAATATTATTTAGCCTTTGAAACGTTTAAAAATCTTTTGACAAATATCAAAGAGTATACTAATAAAGTATCAAAGTTTAATCGATATAAGCAATATATCAATGCAATGGAAGTTAAGCAAAAATATGAAAGATTAACGATGCAGTATGATATGTGTATGAAAGATTTGCAGTTTACTATGTTAGTTAGCAGTGAAGTTGACAGAGCTAATGAAGCAAAAAAAGTCGATAAGGCTATAAAAAACACTGAAGCGGTAAGCATAATTACTTTATTTTTTAAAAAAAATAATAAATTTACGATAATAAATTTACTATGTAAATTTTTTTACAACTACTATATTATATTTATTATATTTATTATGACCTTTTATATTTTAGGCGCTTGGAAAACTAGATACAGCAAACCAAAAACTTGATATGATAGCTAAAAATATAGACTTTTTAATTAAAGATAAACAAACCGATATCCAAGTAAAAACAATCGATGCGAATGAATTAAGAGAACCTGTTTATGCAGAACATAATGTTCGAAAGAGTGTCGTTAAAAAGATTTATGAAGAGTATGAGGTTGCATGTAAACCCATAGATTCACAAAAAATAGGAACTGAATTATCAGTCCTTAAAAAATTAAAATCAAAGTACATACTCCAATTTCATGGACTTTCTTATGTCGATAACAGTGAAGTTATGGTATTGGAATGGGCAGAGAAAGGAACATTGAAAGAGCTTTATAATACTAATGATATACCTTGGACTAGAAAGATACAAATCATTAGAGATATCAGTCGTGGTATTGTATTTTTACGCAGAGTAAATATTTTCCATCATGATCTTAGATGCGAAAATGTTTTTGTAAGTATAAATCTTTAATTACCAATTGAGAAGTTTTAAAAAGGTCTAATGTTTATGAAAATCTTAAAGCATTCCCCCTTCATTAACTTTATTTGATAAAATGAAATTTGAATCACAATTAATTTGTAATGCATATCGATATTGATTTGTAGGTGTTAGGAAATTTAGATCCGAAACTTGGAAATTTCAAGTTTGCCCGTGATATACATGACAAAACTAAGAATCTTTCAAGCATTTTACCAGATGTTATTCGTTGGATGGCGCCTGAACAGATTAAGAGATATACTGACACAAGTGACGATAGACATGGAAAAAAAGGATATTATACATTTAATTGTGAAATGTTCAGGTGTTTATAATTTATATGGAAAATATTTTGAATTCAAAATTTGGTTTGATTTTCTTTCTTCATAAATAATTATTTTTCATGATTTTTTTTCATGATTAGTTTTGGAATGCTTATTTGGGAGCTTTGTTATGAAAAAATTCCTTACCAAGGTATGAGTATTAAGGAAATATCTGATCACGTTTTAAATGGTAAACGAGAAAGGCTTCCGCCCGGAGAATTCAAAAATCCTGTTGATAAAGTGATTCAAGAAAAATTTGTTAAAATTATTGATAAAGGTAAATTTATATATTTCATTAATTTCATTTCATTTTTTTAATTTTAATTTATTTCTTATATTATTTAATTATTTATAAATAGTATGGCGTCAAACACCACAACAACGAATAGATATTGCAAATTTAAACAGAGAGCTTGAAATGCTATCTGTAGAATATCCTATTTGTCCTAAAGATCCCATGCTATTAGAAGATAAAGCATTAAACCTGGATGGGACTATGAACGGTCTAGAACTTGACTTTATCCCTCTTGATAAAGGAATAGAATTTCATAGAAAGAAAGACCATAAAAATGCATGGAAAAGTTTTATACAGAACTCGGATCTTGGTAATGTAGCAGCAAAATATTGGCAGGGATATTATTTATCATATGGATATAATGTTGTTGAAATAGATCATGAAAAAGCAAGACAACTTTTTAGGGAAGCCGCTGATAATGATTATGCTGATGCACAGTGTCGATATGCAGTTTCATTGCTTAATAATCTTAATCATAAACATCTTAACGATGAAGAAAAAGAGAAAAACTACAATGAAATTTTGCATTACTTCAAATTAGCTGCTGACAATAAAAATGTTGATGCAATGTATTATTTAGGTGATATTTATGTTAATGGAAAACTTAAGGTTCCAAATGATGAGGAACATAGGGAACTTGGTTTAAGATATTTAAATTCTGCAGCAAACAATAATTACCCAAAAGCAATTAAATTATTGAATGATCTAAAATCAAATAAGAATATTTAAATTAATTTGCATCACTCTTTTTTTAAAACTGGCCACTTAATTCAGTGATATATATTGATAAAATTGGACCTTTGGATCGGACGTCTAATCCAAGATTCTTGAACATTTTGGCAATTGGACCTTGTCGATCTTGGACCTCCAATGTCCATTCCAAACTATTGGACCATTGGACATGAAAACTGATTTTATTTTTTAAAAAATGGGGATTTAATTTACATTAATTTTAAAAAAATGTGCATTTAATTTATATTATTTTTTTTACAAAGAAAAGTACTATATTTAACAAGGGTATTAAAATTTAGTATAATTTTAGACAATACTTAGGGTAAATATTAGGGCTCGAATTTAGTTAGCATAAGGTTTTGGGGTTTTGAACTTTTTGCTTATTATTCCTGACCCTGACGTAAGGTTGTTGAGATATAACATCCCGGTGAATTTCCCTGTTAAAGTTAGCATTACTTTTTTAAAAAAAATGGGCATTTAATTTATATTATAATTTATCCATAGCATAAACTCAGGTTATTTTTTTCATTATTAATATTTAAAGCTATTGCAAATTATAATTTATTTGTTATTTAAAAATATTTATATTATGCATCATTTTTAAATTATATCAATTACAGTATTAAATTACACGTCATTTTCAATTTTCATTAAAAATGACAAATAAATTCTTAATGTATTATTACAGGACTTATCAAAAGTAACTGAATATGTTCCGCATCAATTGTAAAACTTTTAGATTTGCTCATTAATTTTATATATAAATGCTGCTTTGATTTCATGAATTTCAAGCAAAGAACGAAAAAATTAACAAATAGAAAAGAACTTTGATATTGATTCTGTAATACACATCCGCATTTCCTTTGTATGATAAATTATTTTTTCAACAAGTGCAGGCTTTAATATTGTACTTGATCTTTCGACAACCTGCGGTAGTTTTTTGTTTTACTTAAACTAGTTGCTTCTTGGTGAAAAAAGTATTCATTTATCGTTAGGTCTTTGATTATTGCAATAATTTTTTAAAAAAAAATTAATTTAGTGTTAATAAATTTAGTAGAATTTACAAATAAAGGCCCAAAATTGAAAATAATTATAAATAAGGATCCAAAATGAAAATAATTACAGATAAAGGCCCGATATTCGAAAATTATTACAAATAAAGGCCCAAATCTCTCGTTGGCTGGCAAACCCGATCCAAAAATAACAGTAATTGTTTTTTGTGATTAAATAGATAATTTAATCGCTATATCAAATTGGCACGCAAATTTTTATCATGTTTATTATGCAAGTCTAATTACATATTATTAGATGTAGATTTTTCTATTTGGCATTAAAATATTAGAAATAAAATGTACATTCTAGTTTTATTTTATAACCTTTCCTATTATATCTACTATAAAGTGGACCTGGTTTTCGGATACTATTTCTTCACAACTAAATAAACGAGTTTTTTGTGGCTGTCCTGATTGTCTGGTGGCAAAAAGTTTGTTATCAAAAACCTGCATCTGATATGGTGTTGATCATAAATGAAATTTTAAGCAATACTGTATACCAGGAATTTATGCTGAATCAAGAAATAATTCTACAATGCAGGTAATGAATAAATAGAGAATCAAATAGACTAAAAGTACGTTTTGTAGGCACATCGAATTTATATTCATTGATTATCATTTGAGTTATTAAGCCACGGGACTTAATGCCACAGGTCTTTAAGCGCAGAATTATTTTGGGCCCTTATTTGTAATAATTGTCAAATATCGGGCCTCTATCTGTAATTGTTTTCAATTTTTGGCTCTTATTTGTAAATTCCCCTAAAAATTACAATATGATACGCTTTAAAATATCATAGTTGTTCAAATGACATTACAGAAAAACGATTGTTTCTACTTCTATAATTCACTAAAAAATTATACGAATAACTTATATGTTAGAATTTTTATAAAAAAGGTAATGCTACAAAAGTTCTAAAAAAAAACATCAGATTGTATTGAAAACAATGTTTTAGTAATATTACACTAAATGCTTTTATCATTATTATGTTTTTTTAATTGTATACTTTACTAGATACTGTAATTTAATACGTATAACATATTTTATTTATAGTTTAAATTGATAATAATAATTTAAGTTTTTATGTTTATCGTAACAATTTAGAATAAGCTGAAGCACTTTAGGTTTTTAACAATAATTTGAAGCCAACTAATTTAAATTTTAGATAGTATAAAAAAAATTAGACGTCCAATTTTAATTTTAAAGTGAAATCAATCGGGAATCAACGCGGAACATTCCTGGAGCATTAATCCTTTTGAGATGCACTATCTTCACTATCTTCAACTTTTTTAAAAAAATATTAGTAAAAAAGATTTTTGAAACAATCAATTATATTAATTTGTGCAGCAAGCCGGCTTAGCCAGCCCAGCTGGTTCAGCCGCAGCAAATATTCCACAAATAAGCGGTTTGAGAAGTATTTATGCTTAGGTGAATTAGGCTGATTTCTAGAACTTCCCTAAGCCTAAAAGTATCACTATTTGTGCGATAGTTCGTGAGATAATCGAAGTTGAGTTACTTGGTTTGAATTACTGCGGATCAGCCATGGCTGATCTGTAGCAAATATACCAAACAAGTGTTTTGTGCAAAATTTATATTTAGGCAAATTAGAAGCCATTTAAGCCTAAAATAATCACTATTTGACCAATAGTTCATCATGGTTACACAAAATTTTCTATTTTTAGTTTTAATATTAAGAAAAAACTAGTTGTCGCCGGCGGTGATACGGTGACAGTCGTAATGGCCAATCACATCATGTAACGGAATCAAAACAAACACTAAAGTTATTTATCATTAGGGTCAGGGTTAGAGTTGAGTTTGGGTTGGGGTAATGCATAGTGTATAGTAAAATTTTGCAAGGAATTTTTTTAATTAGAATGCTAAAGGTGGTTTTATAGACGAAATTTTGAGCTATAGCGAATTTTTGAAAAATTTTTATGTTTTCTTCGTTGTCGGGTTACACTAACATTACATCTGATCCCGTGGCATGATTGGCCAATTGCCACTGTCACCGTGTCACCGCCGGCAACAAATAGATTCACCCTTAATATTATATTGATTTTTAACCAATAATATAAAAATTTATATTAAAAAATTAATTTTTTAAAAGTTAAAGAAGTTTTTATTAAGTTAGGGTTTGATGGGTTTCTAAGTAAAGTTGTAGAGGAGGTTTTTCTGGTTCTAATGGGATCTGCAAATTGGTGGTTACACGAAGTATTATCTATAATACTTTGTGTAACCACCAATTTGCAGATCTTTATATTGCGTCTTTAATCCCAAATATCTTGGGATCCACCAAGCCAATTTTGATAATCTAACCACCATTAGAACCAGAAAAACCTCCTCTACAACTTTACTTAGAAGCCCAAGAGAGGTTAACTTATTAAAAATTTCTTTAAATTTTAAAATTTTGATTTTTATATATATTTACTATATAAAACTAAAAATAGTAATTTTTATATAAGCATAGTATAAGCATGGTAGAAATAGCAATTTATAATGGTGGAAATAGTAGCATAGATCAAGTTCGTTATAATTGGTTGTTTATTCTTATTTGAAAAATACTGTTACACAAATATTTTATATTGTTTATAATAATACTTTCAACTTGAAAGTAGTGAAATTTCTTTTTTATAATTAATATGGCTTGAAATTTTGCCAGATTATACTTTAAAAGCTTAACTTTCATATTCGCATTTGACATCCAGTCGGATCCAGTTGTTCCACCAACTTGTCTTAGAAACGATTCTGTCAATACCAGTATGTAACACAACGTTAGTATATTAAATATTTTAATTTTTAGAACGAAACGACTAGTAAAAATCATCAGTTTTTTTGATTTAAAGTTTCTAATGTCACGTGCGCAAGTTATAAATTGTGCGAAAGCAAAAAGATGATCAAAATCATCAACCTGTATTACACTATATCGGGATATCGAAAAGAAATAGTAAAATAAAGGATGATCTTTAATTTTAGCCAATCAAACTTCTTGCTGATCAGCCAATAAAATCGAACTTGACCCATGCTGGAAATAGTAGCCCCTATATTTATATAAAATAGAATATAAATCACATTTCTAGTTACTTAATATTGCTTAATTTAAGTGATAAAATTTTAATCTGATTAATTTAAATGATAAATAAATAAATTAGTTTTAATATAATTATTTTAAGGATATTTTTAACTCATGCCAGTGGTTAAGAATAACCAGTATACTATATCTCAAAAGCTGCACTATGAAACAGGAGTCTGATAGGTTAAGTAAAATGTCCAGAACCCCACGAGAACTAGGATTAGCACCTGATACCCGATATATATTATTTTATTTAAAAAAATTATTTTATATAAAAATCTCTATTTATCTTAAAGCAACACCCTAACTCTAAGTTTTAATAGAGGTGGCTATTTCTAACCAATGGTATAGAGAATAATAATTCTTATTTTAAAATTATTTTTTTTAAATATATACATTCAATAAATATTTTAACAATATTTTTTATTAAATTATTAGCAAGTAAGTATAAGCTTTATATTTATATTTAAGATTATTATTAGTAATTTTTAAATATTTATATAAAAAATGCTTTAAAATATCTTTGCCAAATTAGTTCAAAGTAAGTATAAGCTATATATTAATTTTTAAGATTATTATTTGTAATTTTTAAGTAGTTATATAACAAATGCTTTAATAAATATTTTTGTTAAATTAGTAGCAAGTAAGTATAAGCTTTATTATTTTTAAATTTTTTATTTAAAAATCTATAATAAACACTCTTTTATGTTAAATTATTAGGCAGTAAGTATAAGTTTTATTTATTTATTTTTAAAACTATTATTAGTAATATTTAATTATGCAATCTACAAATTTATAATACATATTTTTTTTGTTAAATTATTAGTAAGTAAGTATAGGGTGTGGCGACTTAGTGAAGTGGTTAAGTTGTCACCTCCCAAGTGGCAGATCCAGGGTTCAATTCCTACCAGCGACGATTATTGAATACTTAATCTGTATATTAACAGATATGTCTACTTAATTGGGTATGCCAGCGTAAGACGCTGTAACTAGATCTCATATATTACGAGCTAGGGCACTAATTAGGAAGGACCACTTGCAAATCCTGAGTATGGCATTCATTTGGGAAAGGTTGATAGTCGGGTTTATAAAGAAATGCAAGCCGTATGACCAGTGCAAATCCACGATAAGACCATATAAGAGTTATTTCTGGATGCAGCGTAGGACTGCATACTGGCACACATAATTACAAATACAAACACATGAACACAAACACAAACAAATACTATGAACAATTAAGATCTTCTGTAGGACATTAATGCAGCCGCCATCTTACTAAAAAATACATCTGTTGTAGTTTGTAAGGGGAATGAGGTATGGAGGCGAGTGGTAAAGCCTCTATACATGGAGAACCAAATTAATAACGGTCAGACCAAACGTATATGGCAGACTATAGAATCCTTTGCAGCTGTGAGAACCGAGCTTAAAACGGCGAGCGCCCCTACAGAAGAAAGTTTATCCAAATCATCACCAACACCATTAGACTCCTATGATTTGGACATATGCTATAATCGATATCTTAGTCACTATCAACTACCTTTACTAAGAGAACCACAAACTATTAGTTCATTTAGACAACATTTAATACTAAACAATGCTAAGCACCTTGCATATTACCACCTCATTACAGTTAACAGTAATGGATCTGAAGCTCACATGTACTTACCTGGTGATCATGATATATTACCCAATCACCACATTTTCTCTATATTATATGATTCACCCAACATTCCTTTAAGATCCAAACCTAATGCCTTCTACTTCTTACAACATACCAACTACAAACTTAAATAATATATTTTCACCTACACAAACTATTAGAACTGACAATATATCCTACTATAATTCACCATCACATATCCCAACCCTATTTAATTCTAACCCAAACAACAACAGTATAACCAAAGAAGCACTCAATATTTCTATAGCTACACACAATGTACGTGGAGTAGGGTTATTTTGGGAGTTCTGGCAGATTTTTCGTTACAGGTATCCAACTTGCATATAAATTCACTTCTGTGTCATCAAATCAATGATTTTTATCTAGAACACATTTATTTACCCAAATTCATATCAAAAAGGATATCATTGTGTCATAGTGGGGTATAAATTTGCATTTGTGTCATCACTCGAATGACGATAAATTTGTGTTTGCGTTGTCATTCTAGCATAATGATATCATTTTTTGTATATCTAGAAAGCAATCTTCTGCTCAAATTTATATCAAAAAGATAACAATTATTTATGCTATTTTGTTTGCTATCATTTAGACATCAAAAATCTCAATCAGTATACCAATATTGTTGTATATCAGAACATATTCTTTTACCAAAATTTATAATAAAAAGGATACAAATATTATTTGTTATAGTAGAATTAATTCTAAAGACGATTCTTCACTACTTTCTGGCACAAAAAATGTGACCTATATATACCAAAAGGGTGATAAAAAATATATACATATATAACAAAGGGTAACAAAAAATATAACCATATATACCAAAGGGTAACAAAATTTCAATAAGGGTCACAAAATTTCGTATTATATATTAAAAGTTAACAAAATAGGGCCAACTTTTTTCATTTATCTAGGATCTATTTTAAAAGCCTTAGCACATAATCTATCATAGTACTGGACCACATAATACCTTTTTGTTATATAGAAATAATTAATTAAACAAAAGATTTTATATAAGTAATATAATATACTTCTGTAACTATATAGTATATACAAAATGGTTCATATATGTGATAGATGTAATAAACCATTCAAAAAGTTATGGATTCTTACTCATCATCTTCAGAATAGAAAATTTCTATGTCGACCGCAAATTATTCCTATTATAAATCCTATTCCAATTCCACAAACCGAACCAGATACAAGTAATCTTTTGGATCAAGTCTCTGATCCATCTATTCAATCTAATACAGATGAATATTTATCTTGAGAAGAATTTGAGTATCTCAAAACATTAGGTTTAATAGAAAATGATGCTGTATTAGATACTGGTATTCACTTTATTCAAATTAGAGTTAGCGATCCAGAAAGACCCCATGATAATTTTAAATTATTAAGTAATTGGGAAGCAATAGTTCCATCACCTATACTAGATCCAAGATATGAATTTATCAAACCAATAATAGATCCCGTAAAATATGCAGAAATGCCATATATGCCTCTGTTATTAGCAAATGCTAGAGATGAAATTACAAGAGTTCTTAAAATCGAGCTCAATGAAAAGGATCAAATAAAAACTGCATTAATTGCTCATTGTTATTATGCAAAATCGAAGAAGAAGGAGGATATGTTGTATTGTCATCACAGAAATAAAATGTGTCCTCTTTTAATGGAAAATGATATAAATGAGCATATATC